CGTCCGTCCGACCTTTGAGATTAGGCTTGGTCTTAATCTCGAGAAGAGCCATGATTTCGCTTGGTCGATCTCAGCGCTTCAAATCAAATACTTCCTCGGTGAAGATGAAGCTCTGCCGAATTTTTCATCAATCGGATCCAGATCTAAGGCGGTCCACGGATAAACCCCGGCACAGGCAAAGATCCCACGCAAGCAGAAGACCGATAAACGATCTCTCTATGTTTGTTTTGAACGAGAATTGTATTTTTTATTTTCATTGTGTAAGAGTCTTATAAAAAGACCATCTTTTCATATAACCACAAGAGTTAACATGTTATCCACAAGAGTTAACATATTATCCATAAAAGTTAACATGTTATTCACAAGAATTAACATGTTATCAACAAGAGTTAACATGTTAGCCATAAGAGTTAACAAATTTGCCACAAGAGTTTATTTTTTATTTTCATTGTGTAAGAGTCTTATAAAAAGACCATCTTTTTGTATTTTCATTGTAACGACTAAAGTTGTAATGAATACCGCAATGAATACATCAATTTTCGACGCAAACAGGGGCGTCGGCAGGGTGGTGATGTAGAACACATGACAGACCCGTTTATGTCAAAGTGGGACAGTCGCAAGACCAAATGCGGGCCCGGTCAAAGAAAATAACTTGTTTCGAAGAAACGACCATAACTTTCAAACCGTACGTCGGAATTGGACGAATTATATATGAAAATTGACTATCTCAATGAGACGGAGCCATAAAAACCAACCTTTGAGGTGATTTGCTTCCTCCATTTTGCCAAATTCCTTACGGCTTGAGAGATATCTGTATTTTTGTTCGTTTTTTTAGTAATGCTTTAGCAGCCTATTTTTATTAGGAAATAAAGCCGATTTGATCTCAGATTTGACCAGTGGACATTTCTAGTCGTAATGAGTCTTTTTAGGAGTTTTAATGTTTTAGGAATTCTTTTACTATTTTTGGTAAGTTAGAGTCCTTGTAGGACTTTGAGTCCTTGTAAAAGTCTTGTTTCTTTTCTATTTAAATAGGGTCTTGTAAGTCCTAGAGGCATAACTTTTGATTAATAAAATTTTATTTTTCTTTAATATTTACTTCGTGGATTCGAAGCTCTTCATGGATTCGAAGATTGGCTTTGGTGGATTACGATGCTACAACTTCCACGTTGCGTCAGGGGGGAAGCAAATACCAAATAAACATGAAAAAAATTGGACGAGGCACCATATGGGCCACAAATGCTTCACATGATATACATCTAAGCCCCAACATGTTGAGATTAGGGGATCCTCACATCTTGAACTGGCCCATAAATACCATAAAAAATAACACGAACCCAAATCAGTTTTAACCCCAAACAACAATTGTCAAACCATCAAAAAGTTCAAAAAGAAAATTTCCCGTAACCTAAAATAATTGGAGACATCCTCTTCTCTGAAAGTGTTATCATCAGGAAAAGTGTTATCAAACCAACAATGACCACAATGCATTCCCAAAATCCCACCATACAATTTGCAATATCAATAACAATCAAACTGCACAGAGAACAACATCAAACTCCTTCCCAGTTCAACTGAAGCTTACATGACAACAAACAACATCAAACTCACTCTGATCGATCCTCATGGGTGTGCTTAGTCCATCTGCTCCATACAAGTAATTAATTATAATTTTTTGATCCCCTATGGAATCACTTCGTGGATTAAGCTCAATTAGTTAGCTATTATTTTTAGATTATCTAATCACCAATCTGACTGAAAGAACACTGTGAGGGTGAACGTTGAACATGATTCGTAGAATCATGCATAAAGCCAAGTTTTCACAAGAATAGTTTCTGATGATCTCTATATCTTTTTTTCTACAGGAGATGATAGTGAGAGCCAAGTTTTCACAAGAATAGTTTCTGATGATCTCTATATCTTTTTTTCTACAGGAGATGATAGTGAGTAGGTTTCATTTTTCTTAATTATAAGATAATTAATAATCAACGTGTGCAGCTTCATGCGTAACCAAACACTGTTTACTTGCCGGAGGTGCTCCTTCATCTCTATTTTTAACATCCAAGTCATTGGTAAAATTTATTTTGTATTTATTTTTATTTTTGAGGAAATCTTTGGTAAATTCGATATTTAGGCTGACATTTCTCTTTACCAATTCAAAACTACGCAAAACGTATACAGATCACAAAAAAGTTGTTTTATTATTGCCCGTATACGTAATAATAAATAAATAAATAAAAAGGTAATGTTTGAGCTATTGGATTTTTCCTTTCCATTACTAATGGCTCTGTCGGTTAAATAGTATTTGGGCAGGGCTTACTGTTAGGAAATAATATATATTGTAAATATAGTATATATTTTATATTGATTTATAGAGTAATTAGTGTGATACGGGTCCCCTGATTATTAGCCCGTGATTACAGGATTGTACACTATATATTGTAACTCTGTGAATAATAATAGTTTGAGCCTTTTCATTCTAATTTATCATGGTATAGAGCTACTAAAATACGATCCAAACCCTAACCTAAAATTCCCACCACCACCGCGCCTCCCTCCCCCTTCCCTCGATTTTTTTTCGGCCCCCCCACCCCTCCACCATGTCTCCAACACCCAAAAACACCGACGAACCCGAATCCTCCACCACCGTGGTGGATAAACCCACCAAGGTGGATACTTTTTCACCATACTATCTCCATTCGAATGCTTCTCCGGGTAGTTTGATCATTACTACTATTCTTGTTGGCTCTAATTATGAGGAATGGTCGAGATCTTTTCGGCTTTCTCTTGTTTCCCGACGTAAGTGGGGATTTATTGATGGCTCCATTGTTAAACCTGTTTCCGCTGCACAGATTCTTGACTGGGATTGTGTTCAGGCTATGCTGGTGCAATGGATTTTGAATAGTATTGATTCTTCCCTGAGGAAGACGATACCTTATTTTGAAGAAGCGCGTCCTCTGTGGGCGTTACTGAAGAAACATTTTAATGTTGGAAACGGTCAGCGCAGACAGCAGATCAAGAAGGCGTTGTCTGGTTGTCGTCAGTCCAAGACTATGTCAGTTGCAGAATATTTTGGGATGTTGCAACCATTATGGGATGCTTTGGCTACTTACAAGCCAGTCCCTGTTTGCCGTTGTGGGAAGTGTGAATGTGACTTGGGGGAATTGTTTCAGGCTCGCTTTGATGAAGAATGTTTTCATGATTTTTTGGCTGGCATCAATGAAGAATTATACAGTAATGTACGATCTACTCTTCTTGCACAAGATCCTACACCTACTTTGGATAGAGCATATCAGGCAATGTTGGCTCAGGAGACATTGCGATTGGGGAATCGTGTTGATGCTGAACGTGATGAAGTTATGGCCATGCCTGTTCGTACTGCACCCTCAGGTAACCGTCGCTTTGATTCGAGTGACAGATCTAAATTTGTGTGTACCTATTGATCTAAATCAGGCCACGAGGAATCACATTGCTTTGCAAAGAATGGGTATCCTGACTGGTGGCAGGCGGAGCGCGGCGCTGGTGCACCACTTTTTTCCAAGGCCGTTGCTACTACTTCAGATGATCGCTTGATGGGTAAGTACTATGCTAATTCCTGGATTATCGATACTGGAGCTTCGAGTCATGTTACTGGAGATATGAGTTTATTATCTAATATTTGTGAGATGCCACCCTGTCCTGTCGGTTTGCCTGATGGCAAGAAGGCTATTTCCACTAGTTTTGGTTCAGTGCATTTTAAATGTGGATTGATTTTGAGCCGTGTGTTACTAGTGCCTGAGTTCAACTGTAATTTAATTTCTGTGTCTCATTTGTCTGATGACTTGGATTGTTTGGTGCACTTCACAAAAACTCTTTGTGTTATACAGGACCGCAGCTTGAGGACCCTGATTGGAGTAGGTGAACGAAGAGATGGACTTTATTATCTGCGGGATGACTCAGGAGTGTATGCGCATACAGTTGATGGAGGTGATTTGGTGGATTTGTGGCATAGGCGTTTGGGGCATCCTTCATAGAAAGTAGTCAGGTCGTTACCTTTTATTTGTAGTACTAGTCTGTCTGCTAATAAAGCTTGTGGTGTGTGTCATCAAGCTAAACAGACTAGAGATAGATTTCCAGTTAGAGTGAACAAATCTAAGCGTATTTTTGAGATGTTACATTGTGATCTTTGGGGTCCCTATCATACTCAGTCATCGTGTGGTGCTCGTTATTTTTTTACTATATTGGATGATTTTTCTCGTTCTGTGTGGGTGTTCCTTTTATTTGATAAGTCTGAAGTAACTCGATTTTTCAAATCATATTTTACAATGATTGAAAGACAATTTGATGCTGTAGTAAAAATTGTTCGTAGTGATAACGGGACAGAATTTAATTGTATGAAGAAAATTTTTGTCGAAAAAGGGATTTTATTTCAATCATCGTGTGTTGGTACTCCTCAACAGAATGGGAGAGTAGAGAGGAAGCACCGTCACATTTTAAATATTGCTCGAGCACTTAGATTTCAGGCAAATTTACCTATTAGTTTCTGGGGAGAGTGTGTGTTGGCTGTTGTTTACCTTTTAAAATCATACCCCTACCCCCTTGCTTGATGATAAAACTCCATATGAAATTTTGTTTGGCATGTCACCTAAGTATGATGAACTTCGTATATTTGACTGTTTATGTTATGCCCATAACCAGAGGTCTAAGGGTGATAAATTTCTGAGTAGGAGTCGAAAATGTGTATTTGTTGGTTATCCTCATGGGCAGAAAGGGTGGAAGGTATATGATCTAGACACGCATGAATATTTTGTTTTGAGAGATGTGGATTTTTGTGAAACTATTTTTCCATTTGCTGCTGAGTCGAGTACTTCTGTAAAGCATTCCTTGGTTTTTCCTAGTGTTCCTGAATTGGATGATCAGGGAATTAATTTTGAAGAACAGGGGGGACAGGATGGGGTTACTGCGTGTCCAGGCACGGTGCTACCACCGTCGCCTGCACACGACAGCAACCCACCCGAGGCGGGGGTCCGAGTTGTCAGAGGGACCTTCGTCATTGCCTTCGGATACTCTGGCTGAGCCTGTTTCTGAGTTAGCAGAGTCGAATACTGGTACTGAGGAGATTATTAATACTGAGGAGATTGGTAAGGGAAAAAGGAAGAAAGTGCCTTCGACTAAGCTTCGTGATTATGTGACTAATACAGTGCAGATAATAAGTCCGGTCTCCTCGCCACCTGCCTCAGTTAAGACCTCAGGTACTGCTTTCCCTATAACCAGTTTTGTGAATTGTAACAAATTTTCTGTGGGACATAGAAGTTTTCTTGCAGCCATAACTACAGGTACTGAGCCCAAGTCCTTTCGAGAGGCTATGGAGGTTGCTGGATGGAGGGATGCCATGCATAGCGAGATTCGCGCTCTAGAAGAGAATGGGACTTGGGAGATGGTTGATTTACCCCCTGGAAAACGGGCTCTCGGGAGCAGATGGGTGTACAAGGTGAAATACAATTCAGATGGAAGCCTGGAACGTCTCAAGGCACGTTTGGTCATATTTGGGAATCACCAGATTGAAGGTATCGATTACACTGATACTTTTGCTCCTGTTGCTAAGATGACTACTGTTCGTACTTTCTTAGCTGTAGCAGCTGTAAAGAGATGGGAGTTGCATCAGATGGATGTACACAACACATTCTTACATGGAGATTTAAATGAAGAGGTGTATATGAAATTACCACCTGGATTCCATGAGCGTGCTCCAGGGAAGGTGTGCAGACTGCGCAAATCTCTGTATGGTTTGAAGCAGACACCTAGATGTTGGTTTGCAAAGCTGGCAGGAGTGTTGTGTAAGTATGGTTTTACTCAGCCTTACTCAGACTATTCATTATTTGGTTATATCAAAGGGAAAGTACAGATTAATATTCTGGTATATGTTGATGATCTGATTATTTCTGGGAATGACTTAAGAAGTTAAGAATTAATTCCAAAATAACTTAAGAATTAACTTAAGAATTAACTTAAGAATTAAGGACCTAATAGCAATTAAGGACCTAATAACTTAAGAATTAATTCCAAAAATAATTCCAAAATAACTTAAGAATTAAGGACCTAATAGCAATTTAAATACTTTGAATGACTAAATTCAAAATAATTTTAGATTTGAGGGACTTTATAACAATTGCAATAATTTAATGGAGTAATTTCAAAATATGAAAGATGTGAGGAGTGGATACTAAAAAAAGGGCTAAAATACCAAATTGGTATATTTATACGAACACTTTTGTCAGTTTGGTATTTTTAAAAACTCCGGTGACGATAAGACATTAAAACTCGTACTTTTATCAATAAGGCACTTTTCTCAAAACTCCAGCTAGAAATTTTGCATTTAACCCCCTTATCTCCCAAATTTATTAAATTTGTGCCCTCTCTCTCCTCCTCCTCCTCCTCTCCCATTCCCCTCTCCCTCTAGCGCACCATCATCCTCCTCCTCCTCTCCTCCGTCCTCATCTCCCTCCTCTAGGTCAACCTTGGCCCCCTCATCCCCTCCCTCTCCTCCTCCTCCTCCTCATACGCTGAAAGTCGCAGTTGCTGAAAGAACAGAGAATTCAAAGGTTGTTCAGCATTTTTGTGATCAATTAATGGAAGCCTAAATAATTACATTTGTAGTGAAAATTGACAATTTGAAACATGGTGCTTCACAAGAGATTGGACTATGGATCCAGTGGCTATCGGGTTCCTACGATGCCACGAGTTCGAAGATCAGCTAGGGTCTGTACATAAACCTTACTCATTCTTGATTTGTTTGTTTGAATTTTCTTTAATTGTTTGCATTTGTTTTCATACAGGGAAAACGATCAGTTAGAAAGAAGGTCGACGACAAGAAGCAGATCAGTGCATTTGATCTGCTTGCCACTATAGCGGGAGAATTGTTATCCTCAGAGAGAGAGAATTCTCCACCTCCATGTAAGATATATGCAGGTGTAGGCGTCTAAAATTGCCTATGAGAGCCCGCACGAAACTCAAAACAAAGAGTGGACGAATCGAGAAGGTTCACGTCAACCAGCTCGCGCGCGTCGGTCAACACGCGCGCGTCAATCAGTTTGCCCGCGTCGGTCAACATGCGCGCTTCAATCAGTTCGCACGCGTCGATCAACACACGCACGTCAATCAGCTCACGCGCGTCGGTCAACACGCGCGTGTTAATCAGTTTGTACGCTTTCGACGCAGTCCCTCAACGAAGCGTACAAGTTGGCGAATCGACCAAAGTAGTGAAAAGTACAAGTCCCGGAAAGAAATAGAAATTCGGTAGAGGCAACGGACCTGTGCCGCACGGACGGCTTAGATCGACCCGCGCAAGCGCGGGTCGGATCTGTCTGACCCCCGCAAGCGTGGGTCAGACCCTGCTGACCCGCTCCCCCCGTGAGTCAGCAGTGTCTGTCGCGCTGTTTCGACCCCCGGATGCATTTTCGAAGGTTTTAAAGTAGTTTTCGCAGGATTTATCTATTCCAGGGGTTCCCAACCGACTTGATATCATCAACAAACGTGGTTAGGCTGTTATTAACTGAAGATAAGTCCAAATCACTCATTCTCATCCAAATAACCATACCCGAGGCTTATAAATATGAGCCCAAGGCCTCTATTTTGCAGATCTGGAATTTTATCGAGAGGACGAGGTGCTGCTGGATTAGAGAGTCAAGAAGCATAAAATTTCAGCAAAGACCAACGAGATCCCGACGAACTTCAGCACAAAGGAGAAGTCATTCGAAGGATCTGAAGCCCCGTACGTCCGTTCCTTGAGATTAGGCTTTGTCTTAATCTCGAGAAGAGCTACTGATTTCGCTTGGTCGATTTCAGCGCCTCAAGCAAATACTCCCTTGGTGAGGTAGGAGCTCTATCAATTTTTCGTTAACCGGATCCGATCCGCGGTTGTCCACGGATAAACCCCGGCACCGGCGAAGAACCCACGCAAGCAAGAGACAATAAACGAGTCTTGTGTTTATTTTCAAGAGAGTTATAATTTTTATTTTTGTTATTTGAATTTATTTGTAAATGACTAAAGTTTTAATAAAATCAATGATGAATGCGACTTTCAGCGAAAACAAACTGGCGACCACAGTGGGAACCGACAGCCTTTCTGCGAAGGCTGACGTGTCGCAACCTCAGATCCCCATCCCGGTTGAAACAGAGGTCGAACATGAGTTCGACCAGCAGAAGTACGAGGAATACTTGTCCTTCTCCTCCAGATCGACCTCTCCTCACAGGTGCATGAAGGCCTACTCTAAGAAGACTCGTTGGACTTCAGCTTCAGAAGCCCAAGAAGAAGATCTGCCCGCCACCGCTGCACTTGTGGCTCATAATGCCCCGCCGGCATCCGACGAGGCTAAAACCACAGATCTGAACCCCTTGAGCAAGGGGTCGACTATTGATGATGTGCCCACTCTATCAAAGAGAGCACGTCAGAGGCGACGCCAACGCTTCGCACGCCAACTGGCCAAAGCCTTGAAACCAGTTGATGGAATTCGCTATGAGGCGGATCTGAAGTCTAGGAGGCGCTAACCACCACAACAGCGAGTGGACAACCCCTCCTCCTTCAAACCAGTGAAGAACGAATGGGTCCGCGTCAAAAGGACCCGATCAACTCTTCAAGAGCGGATTCAGAAACACCGCGCATTGCTTGCACATGCAAGAATTCTTGTGCAAGAGGCTAAGAAATTGCAGAATGAAGAAGTGGAAAAGAAGCCACAAAGACTGCACAAAGTATGGAGGCCAAAGTCTAAGACGGCGGCCAAAAACATCGAAAAACGCGGGTCACTCAAATTCGACCCTCCGGCTCGCGAGACACTCAAATCCGACCCTCCAACCCGCGGGTTACTTAGGTCTGACCCGCGCCAGGGTCAAGACAGAAGATGTTCTGCACAAGTTTCTTCGATTCCACCGAGTTCCTCACCTCTGGTGGAGATCCGTGAAAGTGTGGATTTTTCCCGGTTTAAAATAAAGATCACAGATCGACTTGGCCCTTCACATGATGATCGAGGCAAAGCTCCGATCAAAGAGCACTTAGGCCCATCGAACGGATCTCGAGTGGTTTTTCAGGCTGGAGGTCATAGTCGTCCTCCTAAGCAGTGGAGGAGAACGCATGATAGGAAAAGCCCTGTAACTGACCGCATTGGATTGTGTGTCGAAGTCCAGGAGCCTGTTGAAGGCCGACGTTCGCGAAAACGTAACCTCAGACAGGTGACTCCTGAAGACGCGAACAAATCGTGGGATTCTCAGAAAAAAGCGTACTCGTCGGACGAGGACGTTATACCTAGGGAGTCGTGCCAAAACACGATGGATTGCTCTGGTCATCAGACTGATGAGTTGTACTATCGGGCCCGAGGTACGAACAAGCCTCGGAGAAGGAATAATCAAGAACTGGACTCCCGTTGTCCGTGTTCTAAAATTATCAAGGCGGTGTTATCAGAATGTTGCTGTTCTAAGGCCGCCCCAGAGAGAGTTTCAGTATTTGAAAGAATCTCCACCAGAACACCCGAGTTCAAACCAAGGCGTTTTCACAAGAAGAGAGCTGCTCTTCAAGATGATGAATTTCCAGAAGTATCTGTCAATATGACTGGTAGAGGGAAGTCAACACGACTCTGCTCTTCAAGATGATGAATTTCCAGAAGTATCTGTCAATATGACTGGTAGAGGGAAGTCAACACGACTCTTTAGTCCTGACCAGTTTGCAGGAAGAAGTATCTGTCAATATGACTGGTAGAGGGAAGTCAACACGACTCTTTAGTCCTGACCAGTTTGCAGGAGTATCCCAACGAATAACTCAATTACGATCGGGAACCAGTAGACGAAGGGATTATCAGAGAATGCAAAAGAGACTACCCTCAGATGACGAAACGTCAGATGCTTGCTCAGATGCCTGCTCGGCAATGGCTTCCGATGATACGGCATCAAGCACAGGACAATCCTATGAGTCGCTCATAATCAACACAGAACAGATGAATAAAATTCTTGAGGACGCTTTAACCAAGCAGAGGGAGAATTTTAAATTTGAAATGGAGATGGCTATGCAGCAAATGAGGGAAATGCATGACCAACAAATCGTGGCACTGACAAATCAGCAGGGAGAGTATAGCCGTCGTAATAATCCCAACCAAGCTGATAATGATCGAGAAGTGGATAAGAATGCCAACATGAACACCCCTCCCGTTGACAACAATACTAAGGGTCGATAAAGATGGATTTCTAGACTCTTTTAATTTTGAATCAATTGATACATGTGAATCTTGTTTATTAGGCAAAATGACTAAGTCGCCTTTCACTGGTTTTGGTGAGAGGGCGAATGACTTATTGGCTCTCATACATACTGATGTATGTGGACCATTAAGTACAATTGCTAGAGGTGGTTTTCAGTACTTGATCACATTCACTAATGATCTCAGTAGATATAGTTATGTCTATTTGATGAGGCACAAATCTGAAGCTTTTGAAAAATTCAAAGAGTTTCAAAGTGAAGTACAAAATCAACTTGGCAAAACAATTAAAACTCTTCGATCAGATCGTGGAGGAGAATATTTGAGCCAAGAGTTTGGTGTTCATCTTAAACAATGTGGAATTGTTTCACAGCTTACTCTACCAGGGACACCATAATGGAATAGTGTGTCCGAACGAAGGAACCGGACTTTGTTGGACATGGTTCGATCAATGATGAGCCAAGCAGATCTTCCATTATCCTTCTGGGGATACGCTCTAGAAACAGCTACGTTCACACTAAACAGGGCTCCATCAAAAGCAGTTGAAAAGATACCATATGAGATATGGACTGGGAGGCGTCCTAGTTTATCTTTTCTCAAAATCTGGGGTTGTGAAGCTTATGTAAAACGTTTGACGTCTGATAAGCTCACAGCTAAATCAGATAAATGCTTCTTTGTGGGGTACCCAAAAGAAACAAAAGGGTACTACTTTTTCAATAGGGCAGAAAACAAAGTGTTTGTCGCCCGAAATGGTGTCTTTATGGAGAAAGAGTTTCTTTCCAAAAGAGTTAGTGGGAGTAGAGTGCAACTCAAAGATGTTCGAGAGCCAGCAGAAAATACTCCAACATCTCTTGAAATTGAGCAAGATCTACAAACTGTTGTAGAAACTGCTCAAGAGGCACCAGCCCCATGAAGGTCAGAAAGGTCACGTCGCGTACCTGAGAGGTATATGTTTCTTATGATGGAACAACGCGACATTTTGTTGTTAGCCAATGATGAACCTACAACCTTCCAAGAAGCAATGACGAGCCTAGACTCTGATAAATGGCTTGAATCCATGAAGTCTGAAATGCAATCTATGTATGACAATCAAGTTTGGAACTTGGTTGCTTGAATCCATGAAGTCTGAAATGCAATCTATGTATGACAATCAAGTTTGGAACTTGGTTGATCTGCCCAATGGAATAAAAACTATTGATGTATGACAATCAAGTTTGGAACTTGGTTGATCTGCCCAATGGAATAAAAACTATTGGGTGTAAATGGATATTCAAAAAGAAAATTGGCATGGATGGGAATGTCCACATTTACAAAGCACGATTGGTGGCAAAGGGTTTCAAACAAATTCATAGTGTAGACTATGATGAAACTCTTTCGACCGTCGCTATGCTTAAGTCAATTCGGATTATCCTAGCAATTGCCACATATTATGACTATGAGATTTGGTAAATGGATGTCAAAATAGCTTTCCTTAATGGAAACCTGACTGAGGATGTGTACATGACACAACCTGAAGGTTTTGTCAGTCCAGAAAATCTTAATGGAAACCTGACTGAGGATGTGTACATGACACAACCTGAAGGTTTTGTCAGTCCAGAAAATGTTGGGAAGGTATGCAAGCTTCGAGGATGTGTACATGACACAACCTGAAGGTTTTGTCAGTCCAGAAAATGTTGGGAAGGTATGCAAGCTTTGAAGATCCATTTATGGATTGAATCAAGCATCTCGGAGTTGGAATATTCGTTTCGATGAAGTTATCAAAGAGTTTGGTTTCATCAAAAATGAAGAAGAACCTTGTGTTTACAAGAAATCTAGTGGGAGCGCACTAGTTTTTCTGGTCTTGTATGTAGATAACATACTATTGATCGGAAATGACATTCCTATGCTCGAATCGGTAAAGTCCTCGTTGAAAAATAGTTTTTCAATGAAAGATTTAGGCGAGGCAACATACATATTAGGGATAAAGATCTATAGAGATAGATCGAAAAGATTAATTGGATTAAACCAAAGTACATATATCGACAAAGTGTTGAATAGGTTCAACATGCAAGATTCCAAGAAAGGTTTCTTACCCATGTCACATGGTATAAGTCTTTGCAAGAATCAATGTCCCACAACACAAGATGAGCGGGACCACATGAGTAAGATGCCATATGCTTCTGCAATTGGATCTATCATGTATGTCATGCTTTGTACTCGCCCAGATGTATCATATGCCTTGAGTGCCACGAGTAGATACCAGTCAGATCCAGGTGAGAGTCACAGGATAGCTGCCAAAAACATTCTCAAGTACTTAAGAAGAACTAAGGATATGTTTCTTGTCTATGGAGGTGAGGAAGAACTCCTTGGGACTGGTTACACCGATGCAAGCTTCCAAACTGACAAAGATGACTCTCGATCACAATCTGGATACGTGCTTTGCCTCAATGGAGGAGCTGTGAGCTGGAAGAGTTCTAAGCAAGAGACAGTTGCTGATTCTACAACAGAAGCTGAGTACATTGCTACTTTAGAAGCGACAAAGGAGGCTGTTTGGATAAAGAAGTTCGTCTTTGAGCTTGGTGTGGTCTGAAGCATTGCAAGTCCAGTGAATCTCTATTGTGATAACAATGGAGTCATTGCACAAGCAAAAGAGCTAAGGTCACATCAGAAGTCCAAACATATACTTCGGCGTTTTCATCTCATTCGGAAGATCATAAATAGAGGCGATATAAAGTTATGTAAGGTTTCAACAGAAGGAAATGTTGCAGACCCGTTAACTAAGCCTCTCCCGCAGGCTAAGCATGAGATGCATACTAGAGCGATAGGCGTTAGATATGTGAATGATTAGCTCTAGTGCAAGTAGGAGATTGTTAGTATGATATGCCCTAGAGACCTATCACAGAGATGATTGTGTTTAATTTATGTTTATGCAACTTTTATGAATAATCTGTTATTCGGTCCCTTGAATAAATCACTTATTATGGATCATTAAGTATGTGACTTGAACGTGAAACTCTGTAATTAGATTATGATGTTATTCTAAATAGTCCTTGTCTTTTGTCATTGGTTGGGACACTAATGATTTTATAGGTTGTATGTGGATTGATTGATGATCATGTTTCACGGATCATGGATATGAGATATCAAGTCAATCACATGGGTATATGTTGGTGAACATGATACTGGACTGACCCGCTATGAAACACTGCATGGATTATATGTGTCATCAGTAGGTTTCATACAATGATTATGTTCGGCCTTTTGACCTGAGATTATCACGGTTTCCTACACGAGGATTGTATACTTTGATGTTACCAAACGTTTCCCTAAACGGATAATAATAAAGGTATCAATCGGGTATGCTATGAATCATGCAGAGGGATGTGAATGATCAAGATGGAATTTGTCCCTCTCATATAAATGAGAGTATGATATCTCTGGGCCCCTCAAAGAAGATAGACTGAGAAAGTGCATGGCCATGCCTAATTAGTTGAGAGTCAACTATTGAAAAGTCAGTCTAACTTCAGGTGCGAGAAATTAAAGGTTGAACTGTATAAGGTTGACATGCTTCCTGCCTTGAGTTCAATCAAGATATCTAGTGATGAAGAGACCGACATATGTCCATTGTGGCCTTGAGTTCAATCAAGATATCTAGTGATGAAGAGACCGACATATGTCCATTGTGAACTAGGTTTCGTTTGAGATGACCTTTACATAATTTGGGTAGTCATAATGTCCTGCTAGGGTCCGCTTATGACTTGTGGGCCGAAAAAGTATTTTGGCTCACTGCCAACATCGTGTAAACCTATTGGGTCGCACACAAGAACATGTTGGAACGTTATTAAGAAAGCCCGCATAAATTAAGTCATATAGAGATATGATTAGTTGTGAGGCTATCGGGTAATTGGATAAAGATTGATTTGGTCAATCTTGATTAATTGATCAGAATTGATTTGATCAATCACGTTTGAAAGAAATACTGACCAATTTCAATGAACCTATCTCCTAGCAATCAAATTGATATGATCAATCACGGTTTAAAGATATGATTTGATTTGAACAAATTATATTTTGAGAAACCATATGATTGGAATCCCGATCTCTTTACGGTTTGAGAAACTACCTCACAGCCCTATAAAAAGGGGCATGGGATGGACCTTTTGATCATCCAATCGAGCTTCTGAAATCGTGAGGAAAAGAGAGAGAGATTCTAAAAGCCGCCGTCTTCAAAGTGCTAGCACACTGACGTGCAGAGTTCCAACAAGTTCGTGTGGATACTAGTAGAGGCTTCGCTACAATTGCCGCACAACATTTCAACGAGTACGCAGTTTTTCGTTGTTAATCTGCACGCTTCAGGTAATTTTCTATCTTGGATCTTCTTCTACGTATGGATCTTAGGATGTAGGTAGATAAAAAAAATTTGATTTTACTGCATATTAGTCTACCTACTTTATTACAAAAAGGACAGCAGTAACATGCAAGCCATCTTTTGCACCACTTTGTGATAACCACTTACAAGCATATTATTCAAGAGTCGTTCAATCTCCTCCACAAAATGATAGCCCAATCTGAGCCTTTCGATGGAATCAATGAGCTTGACTTGAACTACTGCGTCAGTTTCTGTCAACAAAGCCCTAACCTCTTCCTTCAACTCCTTAGCCGAAAGGCCATATGCCTCCTCTACATAAAAAGGTTAGTGATTTTGGTAAGCAAAACTATTTTTAAGAAAATATATGAGCTCGAATTTATGACAGTAAAGATGCTAAGTGATTTTGGTAAGCAAAACTATTTTTAAGAAAATATATGAGCTCGAATTTATGACAGTAAAGATGCTAACATTTATAATGAAAGAAATACACATTATATGAGCTCGAATTTATGACAGTAAAGATGCTAACATTTATAATGAAAGAAATACACATGGAAGAAATTAATGAGAATCAACTAGAAAACAATAAGAAAAAAAATGATACGCTTAGCCCGGGCATACCATGAAATTGTTTGTTATGGTTTGGATGGTATTGTACTCCCATTGATTAGGTTAATAGTGTGCTGACCGATGACTGACATTAATAGAATTTTGCTATTAATGTCAATCGTCGGTCAGCACACTATTAACCTAATCAATGGGTCTATAACACCATCCAAACCATAACAAACAATTTCATGGTATGCACGAAATTGTTTGTTATGGTTTGGATGGTATTGTAGTCCCATTGATTAGGTTGATAGTGTGCTGATCGACGACTCACATTAATAGAATTGTTATTGTCGATGGACCTTTTGAACGTTGTTAACGTCATCTTTTTCCATTACAAGAGAAGCTTAAGTTATATAAATGTTTTTTTTTTTTTTTTTTTTTGGGGGGGGGGTTGCGGGGGGGGCGGGGTGAGATGAAATTAAAGGAAGAAAATATAGCTTGGAAGGAACTGAGCAAGAAGTTGGAACTATATATAGACGCTCATACGCAGGCAATAGGCATGAACACTTGGAAACATCAAAGTGAAGTTCCACGTTTAAAAGAAGCACTAGTAGCCACAAGTTTGTGATCCAGCAAACATCACAGAAAATTTTCCCAATAATAACAAAATCAGTTAAATCTTTTTCTCTTGTTGTTCTATTTATGGTTTTATTTTTTTTCTCAATTGTATTTATATTCTCTCTTATGTCCCTCTTTCTAGTTCTATTTTCTTTTTTCTTATCAAAAATCCAAAACCACTTCTTCAATACCTTTTCATAATAAAACATCTTTTCAAATAACTTTCAAAAAGAAAATTTTCAATTCAAAACTTTCAAATATTAATATCCTCCTTGTAGTTCAACATTTTCTACACTATAACTTGGTTGTGCACTTACAACACATTTTAGTTCACACACAACACTAACCTAATCAAGATAGAGAAAATGGGAGGGCGGAGAGAGAGAGAGAGAGAGAGAGAGAGAGAGAGAGAGAGAGAGAGAGAGAGAGAGAGAGAGAGAGAGAGAGAGAGAGAGAGAGAGAGAGCAAATTAAGCACTTACAGCACATTTTATTTCACACACAACACTGGCCTAATCAAGATAGGAAAAAAGGGGGAGGGTGGGAGGGATCGGAGGGGGTTTTCAGAACTTTGATTGAAAGATTCTTCTTTTTTTTATCATTCCCCCGAGCTTCATAATCACTTCCTCATTGCAAGCTACATCATCTAATCAATCATCATTGAGCAGTGTTGCTTTTGGTCATCTTTAGCGTCTATCTTATGCATCTCCACTTAGACCATTGTTTGCGGAGAAAGTTGCTATTTTCATTGTTATCGAATCTATTACAACTTTAGTCGTTACAATAAACTCGAATGAAATAAAAAGTTGATCTTTTTATAAGATCTCCTTACACAATGAAAATAAAAAAAAAGTTTACAACTTTATCAACCAAACGCAGAGATCGTTCATCGGTCTTCTGCTTGCGTGAGATCTTTGCCTGTGCCGGGGTTTATCCGTGGACCACTGTCGATCAGATCTGATTGCTGAAAAATTGGGCAGAGCTTCGTCTATCCGCGAAGGGATCGAAAAAAACTGTAGCTCTTATCTCGGCGAAGCGAGATAATTACTCTTCTTAAGATTACCACAACGGGATAATCTCTTGGCCAGGTCCGAGACACCCTTGGGGTGTCTTGACTTGGCCGAGACACCGTAGGTGCCTCGGTTCAGCTCTGAGACGTTTTCAATGCCCGTTTGACCGTTTTCGCTGTAACTTCTTTGTCTGAACCCGGATCTGAGTGATTCCAAATGCGTTGGAAAGCCGACAAGGAGTTCTATCAGCTCCAATGGTTGGATTATCTGTAGAATGAATGAGACACGAAGGGCATTGTTCCCTTTGTAAACATTGCGGGGCTCCCGATTAGCCCGCACCTTCGTTATTCCGGAATTCTGTCAGCTCACGTAGTTCGTCGATTCACTTCAAGCGTTCACCGACGTCAATTGAACTTTTGTGAACCGGATAGTGACGTTCATCGTCATTCCTTAACACTGAGCTGTTCGTAGAGACCTATAGGCAATTTTCGACGCCTACAACCATCAAGGAGAATGATCTCGTTACAAAACAGGCTCTAAGAACTTTTCAGTTGTGCATGAATGATATTTATTTTGTTGATTTAAACTTTCTATACAATCATATAATTGGCCTTGTATGGCGTACTCACGCCGGTGATAATTTAGGGTTAGGGTTACCAGCAAGAGGTAGGTTACACACTTTGATAGGTTGTTTGGGTGTAGATGACTAGATTAGGGTTATATAGGGTTCAGTCTCATAAAGCCTGTTAGATTAGGGTTTGTTAATCCATGTGAACAACATCATTTAGTGTGGAAGCTTCTTCGAGAGAAGGAAGAGTTGATGTAGTAATTCTTTCCAAACCATTATAAAATCTCTTGTGTTTGTAGTTGTTCTGTGATTGTTTTAATATTCTTATTTTTCTATTGCTTCTTTGTGATAAATTTTTAATTTGTTGAAATAGTTGAGCAATTCAGTTCGCCCCCTCCCCTCAAGGCTTGCATCTCAGATCCTATCGCAAGTTAAATTTTTGTTAATTGTAAATAGAATGAATCTATTCCAAAAATTGGCATCTCAAATATTTTCTAACAGACTCTTACAAAGCCTTTTTGACATTTTATCTTTCATTTGTCAAGGAAAAAGACTTTCATTGTACCCTAGATATCAGGTTGTTTTCATATGTACGAAGAAAAAACACTTGGCCTCGCGGGTTTTAGCGGAGTATATGAATATGTGGAGTGGCACTAATGTGGACAATTACAATCCTATTCATTAATTATATAGAGTGGGGCCTTTCTTGTTTGTTTATGTGGTTCCTTCGTTTGATATTTTCTAGCTTTCTTATATCCACATTATTTGGAGCTTCGAATAAACTCAAGACTTCTTCTTTTTTTAAGACCTTGATGTGTTGGAGAGTATGTTATCTTTCGTTGTTTACGAAGTTGATGGCTTGTTTGATTCCCCGATGCAAATATATTGGACTGGAATAGGGATATTTAGGTTTAATTGAGTTTGATTTTGGGTTAATATTAGAAAAACTCCTTAACTTTATATGAATATCATAAAACCTCTCTTAACTTCCAAAATATCAAAAAATTCCCCTTAAATTTAGGGGATTATGCACCCCCGCCCCACCCCCCCCCCACCCCAAAAAAAATTCAGATTTTATCAGAAAATTCCATTTAACTTTCAAATCTTATCGGAAAACCCTCTAAATTTAGAGGGTTTTCTAATAAAATCTGAAAGTTAAAGGAAATTTTCTGATAACCCCTAAACATAATGGGTATTTTTATATTTTGAAACTTAAGAGGACCTTCTAGTAATCGTCTTAGGTGTAATTATTTGATAAAATTTAAAAGTTAAACGAGATAACTCCTAAGCTTAATGGATTTTTTATATTTTTAAAAGTTAGAGGTTCTAATAATCATCCAATAAGAGGCTTTTAATAGTATTTATATCTTTATTTACCCTTTTAACATGTGTCTTGTACCGTTGCACGGTTACACTCATCACGAATCAAAATGCCAGAGGAAATGGACAAAACAAACATTTTCTACAAGAGATAGAGAGAGACAGAGAGAGGACAGAGGAAATGGACAAAACAATCATTTTCTAGAAGAGACACACAAAAGGAGGGGGGACAAATAAACGTGAAAAAAATTGGACAAGGCACCATATGAGCCACAAGCACCAAAGAAACTCATGATCGACACGGACACGTTGTTCACGATAACTACATGGGGGCGTCGGCAGGGTGGGGAAACAAATACCAAATAAACGTGAAAAAATTTGGATGAGGCACCATATGTGCCACAAATGCTTCGTACTAAAGAAACTCATGATCGACACAGACACGTTGTTCATGATAGCTACATGGGGGGGTGTCGGCGGGGTGGGGAAGCAAATACCAAATAAACATGAAAAAATTTGGACGAGGCACCATATCGGCCACAAATGCTTCGCACCGAAGAAACCCATGATCGACACAGGCACGTTGTTCACGATAGCTACATGGTTGACGTCGGTGGGGGGGAGAAAATACCAAATTAACATGAAAAAATTTGGACGAGACACCATATTGGCCACAAATGCTTCGCAAATACCAAATAAACATAAAAAAATTGGACGAGGCACCATATGGGCCACAAATGCTTCGCACCAAAGAAACCCATGATCGACACAAGTACGTTGTTCATGATAGCTACATGGTTGACGTCGGCGGAGGGGGGGGGAGCAAATACCAAATTAACATGAAAAAATTTGGACGAGACATCATATTGGCCACAAATGCTTCGCACCAAAGAAACTCATGGTCGACACAGACACGTTGTTCACGATAGCTACATGGGGGTGTTGGCGGGGTGGGGAAGCAAATACCAAATAAACGTGAAAATAATTGGACGAGGCACCATATGGGCCACAAATTATTCGCACCAAAGAAACCCATGATCGACACATACATGTTGTTCATGATAACTACATGTTGGATTTAATCTAATAAATCTATTTGTGGGCACATATGATTAATCAATGTGTATTACTATCTTTCAGGATAACCCACTAAAGTGATCAATTAATTTGGGTTAATGGGTATTTAAATAAATCATGGGGTTATATGTGCAGATACCAGGTTGTAATTGTGATTTGTTGAGGGGCCAAATTACAAATGTACAACATCTATAAATAAGGGGTTATGGTCCCTACTCTAGGGTTACATTCTCTAATTCTCTTCACCCCATCTAGAGAGAATTCGGCTATAGAAAAACCCTAAGGTTAGAAGATCCAAAACTCATCTCAAGGTTCATCTATGGATTCAGGTATAAGCTTCCGCTCTTTTGATTCTTGTTAATCTCTTCGAATTAATCATGGATTTATGGTTAAGATCTCAACAGTAACTTTTTGGAATTTTTTGGATTTTTCTTCGATTTTTTCTTGGTCTGGATCATGAAAATTTTTCCGATTCTGGATCTAGATTTGAAAATAAAATCGATGAATCTTTGGATTTTTTGGGTTTAATCTTCGGTCCCATGCTCCTCGCCGGCGAAGTTTTGCTGGCGGCCTCGCCCTCGGCGGCGGCGGCGTCAGGAAACCCTAGGGTTTCGACCTCTTGGGTGCCGGAGCAATGGCGGCGGCGGTTTCAGTTTGAAACCCTAAGGGTTCATGGCGAAAATTAAGGAGGTGGTTACCTCAAACGAACCTCGCGTTCGTTCAATTTTAACCG